AGCAGAGGAGGGCGAGCGAGGCGGCGACGGCTCAGGTGCGGACAGGGCCCATGGCGGAGGTGGTGGCGTGCTGGGCGGGTGAGGGTCGCGTCATGTGCTGGCCGGGCGTGCGAGCTGGGAAGGGCCTCGAGGGCTGCGACGAGGCCAAAAAATCACCGTCTGGGGTACTCGCCGGCCGCTAGGGCATGGCACCGTAGCGGGTGCGGCGGTGCGCCCTCCAGGGCTGGGTGCCGGGCGCAGGCAAGAGCTTGGGCCCGCCGCAAAGTGGGCGCCCAGGTGCCATTGTTGCCAGCAACCAGCGCCAAAACAACCGCCCGACTTTTCTGCCCCGTTGCCCGCCCAGCTTCCTCTTCACGCCGCCGCTCCACCTCTCCTGGCGCAGCCCCGACACCATGGCCACCGACATTGCGACCCTCTCGCAGCTGCTCCAGGCCAGCTTGGACCCCCGGCAGAACAAGCAGGGTATGTTGATTCCCTCTCTGTGGCAGCCCACTATGCCGCCCATGTGGCGGAACCTTGATGGACACTGGCTGTCCTGCTGGGCCAATATCTACATGGCCTGGCCAGTATCCGCATGAGGTTGCAAAGCTAACTTTCCCCCCCAGCCGAGGCCGCCATCACACAGGAGCAGGCCAAGCCTGGCTTCTCCCTCGCCCTCCTGCACATCATCGCCTCGGCCTCCAGTCCGCCCAACACACGACTCTCTGCCGCCCTCTACTTCAAGAACTTCATAAAACGCAACTGGGTGGACGAAGATGGCAACTACAAGCTGCCCCAGGACGAGGTCGTGGCCATCAAGCGGGAGCTGATCGGGCTCATGGTGTCAGTCCTAGCAAACATCCAGGCCCAGCTCGGTGAGGCCATCAGCGCTATCGCGGACAGCGACTTCTGGGAACGATGGGACACCCTGGTAGACGACTTGATCTCGCGCCTCACCCCCGACAACACCACTGTCAACAACGGCGTCCTGCAAGTCGCACATTCCATCTTCAAGCGCTGGCGGCCTCTGTTCCGGTCCGACGACCTCTTTACTGAGATCAACCACGTCCTGACCAAGTTTGGCACACCGTTCCTCCAGCTGCTTGAGAATACCGATAACCTCATCACCCGCTCCCAAGACAACCCTGAGACCCTCAAGGCTGCCTTCTCCACACTTCAGCTGCTCATTAAGTTGTTCTACGACCTCTCCTGTCAGGACCTGCCACCTGTCTTTGAGGACCATATCGGCGTCATATGCGGACTCCTTCACAAGTACCTTACATATGACAACCCCACGCTATACACAGACGATGAAGCCGAGGCTGGACCGCAGGAATACGTTCGCGCTGGAATCTTCGAAGCGCTGATGCTCTACATTCAAAAGTATGAGGATGTATTTGGACCTCAGTTGGGCCAGTTCATCGAGACTAGCTGGAGTTTCCTCATGACCGCAGGGCTGGAGAACAAGTACGACATCGTAGTCAGCAAGGCGCTGCAGTTCCTCTCTGCCGTTGCCTCTACCCACCATGCTGAAGCCTTCAATAATCAATCCGTCTTGGTTCAGGTAATCGAGAAGGTAATCCTGCCAAACTTGACCCTGCGTGAGTCTGATGTCGAGATGTTCGAGGATGAACCTATCGAGTTCATCCGGAGGGATCTTGAGGGTGCTGACAATGACACACGTCGGCGGGCCGCCACCGAGTTCCTTCGCAAGCTCATGAGCCGATTTGAGGGACTCGTTACGAGCACCTCCCAAACCTACATCGATGCATATCTGCAAAATTACGCCTCGGATCCTGAGAACAACTGGAAGTCAAAAGATACTGCCGTGTATCTTTTCACTGCTATTGCATCCAAGGGTGCCACAACTGCGGCCCAGGGTATTTTGACTGTCAACGAGAGTGTGAATATCTTGGCATTCTTCCAGACACACATCGCAGGTGATTTGCAGTCCCAAAGTACTTCACCCATTTTGAAAGTCGATGCAATCAAGTTTCTCTACGTTTTCCGCAGCCAGCTGTCACCAGAACTCTGGCGAGCCGCCTTCCCATTACTTGTCAACCAGCTGGGCAGTGACAACTACGTTATTCACACATACGCGGCGATCGCGGTCGAGCGAGCTCTGTTCATGACAGACAGTGAACGCCAGCCCATCATTCCGCGATCAGACGTTGTCGATTCGTCGAATCAACTACTTACACATCTGTTCAAACTGATCATGAAGAACTCTGCTCCAGAGAAAATCCAAGAGAACGAGTTCCTCATGAAGTGTGTCATGCGCGTGCTGATCTTCATTCGCGACGGCGTGCTACCACATTGCCAGAGCATACTGCAGAGCTTCATTACTATCGTCAAGGTCATTCGACACAACCCTAGTAACCCGCGGTTCCAGTACTATCTCTTTGAGGGTATAGGAGCGCTCGTTCGATTTGCTGCACCAAAGCAGCCTCAGTTCTTTGAAGAGAAGCTGTACGAGCCCTTCGCTGCTTGTCTATCAGCAGACGTCCAGGAATTCTCGCCATACATTTTCCAGATCTTCTCAGCTCTTCTGGAGGCTAATCCTTCGGGAGAACTCAGTCCCTACTATAGAAGCTTGTTCGAGATTGTCATTCAGGGTGCTGTATGGGAGCAGCGTGGCAATGTACCTGCGTTAGCTCGCCTATTGAGCGCTATGATCGCGCGGGATGCTCAACATATTGTGGCCAATAAGCAGCTTGAGCCCATCCTGGGTGTATGGCAGAAGCTGGTTGTTACCAAGGCTCAAGAGACTCATTCGTTCGAGTTGATCGAAGCTATTGTGACATATATGCCAGCGGAAGCTCTACAGCCATACTTCACTACCATCCTGCAACTGATGCTGCAAAGGTTGTCCAACAATAAGACCGAGAACTTTCAACAGCGCTTCATCGCCTTTTACCACTTCGTTTCGGCACGGCTGGAGCAAGGTCTTGGTACGGACTACTTCCTTCAGGTCACCGACCAGATCCAGCATGAGTAAGTCGTCCCATGATCAGGCTATTCCAACTGCTAACCAAGCAATAGCATCTTCAAAGCACTCTACTTGCAGATCATCCTGCCAGAAACCCAAAAGCTTGCGCGCCCAACCGATCGCAAGACCGCCGTGGTGTCTTTCACCAAGACTCTTGGTGATTCACAGGCCTTTGTCGATCGATACCCTAAGGGTTGGCAACTCACAACTCAGCGTTTGATCGAACTATTGGTCAACCCTCCGGTTCCTACAGCCGCTGATGACATCATCCCAGATGCAGATGTTGACGAGCTGGGCTTTGGCGTTGGTTTCACACAACTGAACACCTGCAAGAAGGCACCTCGTGATCCCTTCCCAGAGATTAAAGACATCAAGAGCTGGGTGGGCGAGTACCTGAAGGGAGCAGATCAGCGACACCAGGGCAGGATTGGCAGGATCGTACAGGAGAGGCTTGATGCTGAGTCGAAGCAAGCGTTGGTTCAGTACCTACAGTAGAAGTTTTTGACGCAGAGAGATGAGAATGGGATGGGATTACGGATTGGATGGATATGATACCAGGAAAACTGTGGCGGAGTTTGAAAGATTGAAAAGGTCTCGAGACCTGAATACATAGCATCCAGCGTATTTGTGCATAATCCACAACCTAAGTGACAGGTGGGAGTTGAAATAAGATCGTCCCAGTGTACCTTCCTATCAGAGCCTAGCGTGTGTACATCTAGGGCGCGTTTCCACATCACGTCTGGCCGGGGAGTCTGGATCATCTTGAAAGTTCCGTGTTTTGCCTCTGCCTTTATGTACCTCCAGTGACACAGGTGAGCACTTGTAGCAGCCATCGCCCAACTCATCCCCTTCATTGCATGCGCTGTTTCCCGATTCTATCCTTACACTCTTTATTCTCGCTCCGCGGCACACCAACAAGTCATATTACATTCCCAATTGCCATAAATAGAAAGGCTCTTGCAGAAAACGGAGTTCTAGCAGTCTGTCATACCAGAAAAATAACAACTATGGCAGACCCCTTCGCCCAGAGAACAGAACCCCTCTTCCAAAAAGATGGCCAACTCCACACCCACACCAGCACAATCACCTCAATTCAACCCTTCTCGACCCTTCCCCCCGAAACACAATCCCTCTTCAAACCACCCCCCGAAACCACCCCCTTCATCCTCACCACCCCCTCCACAATCTTCCACGCCCAAGGCGGCGGCCAACCCTCCGACACAGGAACCATAACTCCAACCCCAACCTCAACCTCACCCACCCCCCCAACATTCCACATCCACCAAGTCCGCAAACTCGACCCCACAATCCTCCATATGGGCGTCTTCTCCCCCTCCACCCCCCAGCCCCTCAAACCCGGCGACTCAATCCACCAAGCCATCAACAGAGAAAAACGACTCCTACATTCCCGCCTCCACACCGCAGGCCACATCCTCAGCCTCGCCATCAACCTCCTCACCGCCTCGGGCGCCCTCCCAGTCAATCTAATCGACGGCAAAGCATCACACTACCCCTCCGCCGCCTTTGTCGAATTCACAGGCCTCATCCCTGGAACCGCAAAATCCCTTATCCAAGATAAACTCGATGAACTAGTTGCGCAGGATTTACCCGTCCGTATTCACTTTTGGACAGAGGAGCAGGCTAGGAAGAAGTGCTCGGGCGTGTTGGGGGAGATCAAGGGGGATCAGGATGGAGTGAGGGTGGTGGAGATTGGAGAGGTGGGGAGTTATCCTTGTGGGGGGACGCATGTGATGAGGTTGGGGGAGTGCGGGAGGGTGCTTGTTAGGGGGATCAAGAGGCAGAAGGGGGTTAGTAAGGTTGGGTATGAGGTGCAGGATGTGTAGAATTGGGCAAAAAAAAGAAACATACCTGCTCATCGACACAAATACAATGGCTGAATTAAAATAATTTTCTCAAACAGCTATCAATCGCATGTTACTTTCTGACCCATCGATGTCTCCTGACTTTTGACTTGTTCTCAACCCTGTCTGTATACCTAAACTTCCGCAAAGAAAAGCAAAAAGACAAATCTTGACACGAGTGGGTTTCGAACCCACGCACATTTCTGTACCAGAGATCGGCATTCCTTGAACAGGAAAAGCTTAAATCTGGCGCCTTAGACCACTCGGCCATCGTGTCGTTGGATGTTTAAGTCAAAATGTGGGCTTAACTTAACTATATATTTAATATAAAAGTGACAGCAGCATGAAAAGAGATTATAGCGGCTTGGAGGTGGTGGTGCAGGTGTCAAAAGTGTGGAAGGATGGTGGATCAGGATCCGTGCAGGATTTTTGGGGGGCTTGGAGGGGTAAGTGGGGGTCTTGCTATGCGGCATGTAGCTACGGGAATTGCACTTCTAACATTGTGTTTATAATGTGTAACAATACATTCTGTGCCACGACGACACAGCCTGGCGCTCCTGCATTGCCGCTATATGGTCTGAAGGTTTTATCCGAGGTTCGGACTCACTCATTACCACTTGAAACACAATTTCAAGTCCTGCTCGAAAGCACCGCCTTTCGTCATGTCCGCTGTGCCGGAAACCTTGAGCACGCCATTCTCATACGACGTCTCCATGTTGGAAGGATCCTGATCCTTGTTACCATAGCTGCAAGTTAATCCCTGAGGTTTGCCCTGGGGGTGATTGTCGCGTCTGCCCTTGCGTTTACTTGGAGAAGCAGCGATTCCGGTAATAGTAATATTGGCAAGAGGTTGTGCGGCGTGGAACGAGCCTTCAGACGACCACGAGAGACAATTATCGGCGTACGAAAACTACAGGAAATTAGTGATGATGTCCACGGATCCAGCGTTGCGTGTGTCCTACCTGTACCAGACGCGTCGCATTCGGATGCAGACTCTCTCCGTCATCCAGATACAAGCTACCCTCTGCAGCACTGTTGTCATCAAGCGCTACCAAGATACCATATGGCGTAATCCTCGTCTCTCCGGTCGTATACTTAGGCTGCTGGAGTGCAAGAATACTACCACCGCGTACGTGAACGTTAATATGCTCAAGCGGCGCAGCCAGTGTTACATTTTCTTGCGCCTTGGCCTTGACCTCAGCTAGAGAGTACCAATCGTACCATCGTGTACCTTCACCAATTCCGGGGAAAACACCTTGTACTGTCTCCGTGTTTGGGACTAGGACAGGGGTCACGAGGATAGAGGGGCCTAGGAGAAATTGAGAGTATGTGCCACTTAGTGACTCGTCGTTAGGGAATTCCCATGCTAGTGCGCGCATGACGGTCTCTCCCTTGGTGTGGGCATAGTACATCAAGGTGTACATGTAGGTTAGCATGCTGTAGCGGACGGCGATGGCGCGGCGGGCGGCTTCAGAGACCGAGGACCAGTGGTACGCTTCCTGTCCAATTGTGGCTTTGACATTGTGATTGCGGTAGAATGGGCTGGGTTTTTGGTAAGCATCGATGGCTATAACGGCGATGAAAGTGCTCGGACTTACAAGAAAGCGCTCAGCTCCATCCACCGAGAACATAGCTGGTAATCAGTGTTGCGAGCGAAGCCACAAGTGTCAGCACCAAACATTTGGATTCCAGACATCATCTTTCAACATCAGTGTGTGCATACAATGTGTGCTGCTAGAGCCTCTTACCATAGTCAGAGCTTGTGAGATGGACAGGAACATGGACCCCCAAGTGCTTGTGTTGTCTCCTCCCCAATGACTGGTTGTTTTACCACTGCCAGCAAAGACGCTGCGGCCAACGGTAAATGGCCTCCGTCCTGGAAATAGCTCTAGTAATGAGTGATAAGTAGCATTCGAGATCTGAAGTCCGAACAGGTTGTGCATCTCATACTCGGTCGTATTATACTGATCGTTGTGCGTCGCGTTCGGCGCAATCGCACTCTTACCCAAAGCATGACCGGACTGAACATTGTTGATCACGTAGGGAGGGAAATTGAGATTTCGAACGCCGGGAGTGGGTTCAGTTCTGCCTTGGGTTGTGGTAGTTGCAGCAGGGAGAATGGGCGATGCTGATAGTGCAGCAGATTGCGAGGCTGACGCTGCTGCCGCGCTTGCAGCTTCCGTGGCGTTGCTAATGTTGAAGCCTTCGGGATAGTTGAAGTCAAACGTAAGCGGATCGCCTGGCAGCAAGAATGGCGGGTGGACTGGGTTCTCTGTGAGACGGCCGTTGCCACAAGAACCAGCGCAAAAGGAGGCAGCTTCACTCAAATCAATCCAGATACCATCGAATGGTGTTCTTTTGTGCCACGTGACCTGTACAACGCAATTAGTAGGTAGCATTCCCACCAAGCCGGGGTATTTTATTTACTTACAATCTCATTGGTCCACCATGCTTGGGTGGAAGGGAGCAGCCAGTCACCCCAGACGCTGAAACCCGGCCAGTTGTTACCATAGTAGTAATCGCCTGTTGTAGGATCTCGGATGTACGTCTGTAAGTCGGCACCTCGCTCATAAGGACCATACGTATCACTTGCGTTGTTCGGATTAGAGACGTAGATGTTGCTGTCAATAATAGGAACGTAGTGCTGGCCATTGGCATGCAAGCTGTCGAGGAAGTTTGTGAATTCAGGTAACGGATATGTGGCTTGATTGTTCGTGAAGTCACGGTACAAGTCGTAGATGTCGAGATCGTTCCAAAGACATTCAAGTGGAACATTGGCGGCCCGGTATCCGTCAACAACTCCTTGGACGACTGATATGTTCTCATAGCCCCATCGAGCCTGGTGGTAACCAAAGGTCCAGTACTGCTGCATTGCGGTGGTTCCTATGCACCAAGATGAAATTGAGAGATGGTCGTGAGGGCGCTAGAGCTGCTATCGTCCTTTTCGCCGCTGAGGAAGTAGAGATCAAAACTGCCGCCCAATGTACGGTAGGCGATTGTGTCTTTGCGAAGCAGCCATTCCTGCCCATGAGCTAAGGTATAATTATCAGTCCCAAGCTTCTACGAACTTAGGACCACTTACCATTGCGCGCGTACATGCCATGCGCGGTAGTGTTGGCTCCGCCCACACCGTATCGAGTTTCTTGATAGAACGGAATAACACCGTAAACGTTACGGTCGACTGAATTACCTGCATCTACTGCGTAGAATGTCTGAGTGTGGTTGTTTCCCAATCGAAAGTCATGTACATTTTCCGCAAGACCGTATACATTGTAGTCCTATTGACTTGAGTGACGTGTCTCCAATGCGTTCCGGACACATACCTCAACCATGTTCGTAACGAGCTCGATAAACTGGTCTTCGTAGACGATGACATGTCCATATGTGGAAAACAGCTCCTCTCCTGTGCTACGGCGCGAGACCTTGAACTGAAACGAAGGATCATTGCTCCATTCGAACTTCAGATCACTTGATTCAGCACTGGCCTTGCCGTCCCATTGTGGCTGATCAACGATACTGGGAGGGAGAATGAACCAGGAGCTGTTGGCTGGAGAAATATACTTGGGGTAGATTCGGACATTGAGACGCTCCTTGGCCTGGTAGTTCACTTCTAGTTCCAAATCTGCGATATCATTTCCATAAGCTTGACAATTGCTCCCAGCAATAGTCAACTGTGCCGTAAACCCAGATCCCGTTTGAGCAACACCGGAAGCTATATATCCAGGACACTTCTGAGAGTCGGGTGCAGTCTCATCGTAGATAGTAGGCGTCAGACTTGGTAAGGCATTGATCTGCGGGGACAGCGTCGGAATGAGCCTTTCGGACGGCGTCTGGGCTGTACAATCTATTAGCGAGCATGTTACCAAGCATGTGAGAAAGACATTACCAGATATACATGTCGCAAGTACAAGCGCCACTGAACTGATATGAAAGCGTGTCATGATATGCATTCGCCCACTTAAGGTACTCATGAGTTTGCAACTTAAACCACAAACCTTGGCCAGCCTTTATATGTTCACAAACTACCACTATAACAACTTGCGGGGTACTTCATTGTGGTACCTTCCTTTTCATGAAACACGTCATTTGCTGCAGGTATTGTTGTAATTGAATGCTGTTCCGGCCTTCTGGACGAGCATTTCGGAGCTCGCTGGGTGCTTGGGACGCCTGTTTAAGCTCCAAGTAGCAAGATTGCGGGGTTGAAAGAGAAGTGGAACGGGTTTGGCGTATGCAACACAGCTCCGTGGCTTTCCAGCGGTCGTTGTATAGAAAGCTTATGCAGACTTTGGCTCTTTGACATCATTGTAACTCCCCGATAGTCTTCCCGATATGCAGTCTAGAAGGGGAACAAGGATGCTGGCGGAACGACGTATAATTCTTGGGTGTGTTCGTCAAGACTCGCGGCTGGATTCAGACTCCCAGTCCTACACACGCGGTGGTGCTGTATCTGGGTGTGGTTGATGAGGAACGTCGAGCCTAAGTTACATACGCGTTACCAAGGTAAGAGCGCGCTGCTTCGCGCTAACACTTCGCTTAGCCATCCTAGCAATATGCTCTGCCGGGCAGGGTTTAGACCTACCTGCATTGCAGTCCTCTCAGCCGTAAAGTGAAAGTCACACTGCCCCCTACCAAGTATGAGATGCCGTCAGAATTACAGCTTGGAGGCACAATTTCACAGCTGCTCACCAAGAAAACAAGGTTGTCGCGCATTCTGGTGCTTCTATACTTGGCTGATCATTACCTATTGGTCCTTCGGCATAGCCTTCCGACCAGTACACAGCAATGTATTCAAAGACTAGACGTCTATGAACTACGATGATTGGAGACCGGCACATAGGTGCCGCTTAATTGGTCAACAAGATGACTCGCCCCCATGCGACCTTACACTGCACTACGTCACCGTCCTCTGGAAGAACCATTTGCAAATTCTCGTAATGTGGCAGGTATGGTTCAACATGTCGCCCGAAGTTACTGCAATAAGTTTCAGACTTAGCAAATTAACTAACCCTGATCATAACGTCGCTCATGAAGGCCCGACAGTTACTACCGGCCGCATAAGCACCACCTTCCGTGTAACTTGACCAATAACAAGGCGAAGCCGCGGGGCATAAGCTGTATCAGTCTTTGAACCTCTTGCTAGCTCTACTCATAGTCTGCGATAGATGAGAGAATGGACTATCAGGGTGGGGATAGATCGCAGGTTATAAACGATCAAAACGTCTCACGAGAAGAGCTAGGACAAAGACAGATGGATGCTGAGAAACCGTTCAACAGCAC